CCAGAAGAGCTAAACCAGCTGCAATTAATGTCCAAAATAAGGGCGATACCAACAGATAACGACCCGATCCAATATGAAACATATTTTGAATTAAAATCTCATCAAATATAGTACTGTCAGGTGATTTTGGATAGGCAATAACTTGTTCGATAGTATTCAATGCAGATTGAGATATTTCACTCACTGAGCCAAGTGGACAAAATGTGCCTGATGCACATGGAGTACATTGAATAGTGGCATTGCCAGAATTTTTTGTACCAGTCGAACAAAGCATACAATCATTGATGCCAGCTTGGTCCTTGTGCATACCTAACGGGCAACAATTGATGATAATTAGGGAAAATTAATAGAGGGGTACTGTTCAAGTTGTAAATGTTCGACTGCATATCATAGAAATAGATTTGAGAAGATAACCACCGATAACTGAGTGAATAGGTAATGACTAGTATAGCAGCCATATTGCCTTTATTTAACCAGGCTACGCCTTTTCCATTCCCTAATGATCGACCGTTGGTATTCCTACTTACATAAGCCAGCTGTATCGGATTGGAAATATTGACTGAAAGTAATAAAACTCGATTGATATGTTGCATACCAACTAATACATCACCATAGCGATTAATACTAATTGACATATCATATTTTGATGAATAGATATCCGCATCCGCATTGCTCAATAAATCTTGCCATGTACCATTAGTAGCGATTGGTATATATTGATGGACAACAGTTGGGTGATGATTTGATAGAAGAAAATTGAGAAGATAGATAATTGGACTATATTTCACTCTTTCCTGTAGGTCGTTTTGAATGAAGCCTACAATAATGCCAAAATTGTTACTAATATTAACAGCATGTGGTATAAAAGAACGATTCGGCCATGTTAAGTTGCCATGCCATGGTTCCAAGGTTGAGCGATTTTCGGAATCAAATACAAAAATAAACTTATTTGAAAATCCATAGGCGAAACGACCTTGAGGCTCAACCCCGATGATATAGTATTCTTGATGTTCATAGCTGATGAGATACTCGAGCGAGTAAGAGAAACTCATGGCACAGAAGCTGGACGCATTTGAAATAGCATTTGTCGGATCATACTTTGCTACACCAATAAATGCTCCCTTACTACTGTTAATCGATTCACTAGCAAAGAAAAATTGTGTTTGATTTTGATTCGGGTTCTTCCCGACAGCAACCGAATAAATATAATTTTCTAATATATCTGGATAATTAATGGAACATTGCAATGATGTTTGTGTATTATTGTAAGGTGCAAATTGAATAAAAAACGACGGTGGAATTTTGGTGTTTTGAGCTTGTATAAGAAGAACTTCATTCATAGCTATTTTTACGCCATAAGCATCGTAATCCNTGAATAATTCAGAGAAAAAAATTTTTTTTTTGAAAAAATCCCTGTACTCCCCCTCAGGGATGATCGGGTCAAAAATTACAATTTTTTTTATAACTCAGTCATTTCTCGACGGATCCTTCTCATCTTCGAACTCGACCGAGATATTGTAAAGACTGAACTGTGCAAAAAATTTCATCGCGATCTGACTCTCCTTTCGAAAGTTATCGTGTAAACGGCCGGACGGCCGGACGGCCGGACGGCCGGCCGGACATACTGACCGATTCTAGAGTGTACTCACTTTTTGAGTACACAATCACTTTTTGAGTACACAAAAACCTATTTAGACAAAACATTGAAGATCATTGTTGATTTACATGTAGACGAATATTCGACTTCTAAAAAACATATGTTATAGGGTGTTCATCAACATCACTGGTATTAGACCGTGTATTCGAATATTTGAAGTCACTATTCATTTCTTCGCCATTCTTTTTATATTTTTCATGGTGATGAAATACTACCCAACAGATTGAATGATAAATTGGTTTGAAAATCAATTTGTACAATATGAATATCAGACCAAATATTTTCAAACAAACTACAGTGAATAGAACCTTGTGAAATATAATCTCTGGTTGTTTGGCTATTAACTGTTGTTGATTTTTGACATAGTAAGGCGTTTCATTCAGTACAATCGACAATATAATCGTTTACAATGTTGAACGAATATATTGATCTCGTGAAATAAATAAATTATTTAGATCAATCGTGTATGTTGGAATGTAAATGCCACTAATATTGGACTTTTTACCTTCCATTGATAATGTTTCATTGATCACTTTTGTTAGCGTGAGAGACACAGGTAATATTTGTGCTAGAACAGATCCATTCTTCGAAAAAGATCCGTAAAAGTTTAATTTCTTAAGTTTATATGAGTCTTCTTCATGTTTATCACCACTTACACCAATGCGTAAAGCGCCGATTGTTTGAACTTGAGCTAGCGTGATTTCTACCAATATATGCTGATGGGGAAGAGGAATCGATAGACTTAACATCAAATTGATATTTTGATAATTAGACCAACGAATCGTTGACCAGATATTACGAAAGAGAGCTTGAATAGATACGACATCACAATTAATAAATGTGTTAATAAAATCGACATTTAACAACAAGCTTTGTTCATTTAATAAATCGAACATCTTTCGCTCAGTTTCTGGCGGCGATATAGCCAATGTTTGAAGATGTGTTTGAAATTTAGAATTACGAATCGAAAGATCACAAGCGAAATAGGAATCATATCGAAGTTTCAATGGGATACTGCTTGAGATAGACATTACTAAACGCATAGGCAAAACTAACAAGAACCACGATAGAAACTGATATCAAACCACCGACCCATAGTTCACCTTCTCCAATCAAATCTGTTTTTTTTTAAATATTCATTGAATACGTTTTCTTATTTGCGCACATGTGTGATGTCTGATGAAAAATGTAAGCATTTCCATGATTATTACAACCAGAAGAGCTAAACCAACTACAATCAATGTCCAAAATAAGGGTGATACCAACAGACAACGACCCGATCCAATATGAAACATGTTTTGAATTAAAATCTCATCAAATATAGTAGTGTCAGATGATTTTGGATAGGCAATAACTTGTTCGATAGTATTCAATGCAGATTGAGATATTTCACTCACTGAGCCAAGTGGACAAAATGCGCCTGATGCACATGGAGTACATTGAATAGTGGCTTTGCCAGAATTTTTTGTACCAGTCGAACAAAGCATACAATCATTGATGCCAGCTTGGTCCTTGTACATACCTAACGGGCAACAATTGATGATAATTAGGGAAAATTGATAGAGGGGTACTGTTCGAGTTGTAAATGTTCGACTGCATATCATAGAAATAGATTTGAGAAGATAACCACCGATAACTGAGTGAATAGGTATTGATTAGTATAGCAGCCATATTGCCATTATTTAACCAGGCTACGCCTTTTTCATTCCCTAATGATCGACCGTTGGTATTCCTACTTACATAAGTCAACTGTATCGGATTGGAAATATTGACTGAAAGTAAGAAAACTCGATTGATATGTTGCATACCAACTAATACATCACCATAACGATTAATACTAACTGACATATCATATTTTGATGAATAGATATCCGCATCCGCATTGCTCAATAAATCTTGCCATGTACCATTAGTAGCGATTGGTATATATCGATGGACAACAATTGGGAGATGATTTGATAGAAGAAAATTGAGAAGATAGATAATTGGACTATATTTGACTCTTTCCTGTGGGTCGTTTTGAATGAAGCCTACAATAATGCCAAAATTGTTACTAATATCAACAGCATGTGGTATAAAAGAACGATTCGGCCATGTTAAGTTGCCATGCCATGGTTCCAATGTTGAGAGATTTTCGGAATCAAATACAAAAAATAAACTTATTTGAAAATCCATAGGTGAAACGACCTTGAGGCTCAACCCCGATGATATAGTATTCTTGATGTTCATAGCTGATGAGATACTCGAGCGAGTAAGAGATACTCATGGCACAGAAGCTGGACGCATTCGAAACAACATTTGTCGGATCATACTTTGCTAAACCAATAAATGCTCCCTTACTACTGTTAATCGATTCACCAGCAAAGAAAAATTGTGTTTGATTTCGATTCGGGTTCTTCCCCGACAGCAACCGAATAAATATAATTTTCTAATATATCTGAATAATTAATGGAACATTGCAATGATGTTTGTGTATTATTGTAAGGTGCAAATTGAATAAAAACAGACGGTGGATTTTTGGAGCTTTGAGCTTGTATAAGAAGAACTTCATTCATAGCTATTTTTACGCCATAAGCATCGTAATCCATTTGACTAGGAATGAAGACACAACCTAGAGGATGGATGTGGAAGAGTATGAAAAATTCAATGATTGTGTGATCGATCTGATTCATACTCTTATTCATATGATAGAACGCTAATGTTTTCCAATGCAAGAAACGCAATTTCCATTTTGATATCTGAAATGTACGGAAATGATCAGACAAAAGGAACGGGATCATTACATTCGTACACATAATAATCGGTAAAGTTCATCGGGTATCGATTTCTTCGATTCCAAGTTGAAAGATGATGAAATATAATACTACGAATTATACAGTGAGAATCGTGAAGATGCGTCTATGATCAAAATCAAATATGGCAAGAGGAAAAATTTAGACTTTAAAATTCGACTCATTCAAAATTTATCTAAATAAAAACTGATCTTGAACTTGAAAGGTTTGAAAGTAATACAACAAATGGAAGTGCACGGTGTCAGTGAAAAGCCTCGAGAATTCCATGAGTAGTATGAAAATTTTCGAGTTGAAAAGTCCTATATTATCAGCAATGAAAACCGCGTCATTTTAACAACTCTTGGAGCAAGGATAAAAGCACGATACACTGACTACTCTCGTTTCTTAGCTCTTGATATTTGCATCCTACTTCACCAGTCAAAAATCAACTATTGTTTTTCTCCATTCAAAACATCATAACTCATATCCAATTAAATTAAAACAGTCATTCACGACGTTATACAAGTACGGATAGGACGCATCTTTTCTATCTCGTATTTATCGTTACATATTCTTTACTCTTTCTTTTCTCTCTCCACAGTCACGCTCTTTCGTCTGTTTGTTTACAATTTCATCCGTGACTCATCTTTCATTTATAACACCTCACGTATCTCCCAACCCCGCCTAGCTCTACCAACATGCCTGGCAACAGGCACATTGGTGGTCTTCCACAACATCCCCAAGTCAACAATACCTGCACCCAACTCCCAATGTGCAACCATCAATGTTGTTCTACCATCAACCATCACCATCATCAGCTAATGCCACCTAACCCATCTCAGCTTCAACAGCACATTGTGACATCTAATCAGTCTTATCCACCTACCACCGACACGACCCATCATCAACCCCATCAACCTAATCAACAACAATCGCAAAACATTGTGATGCCAATGGATGGTGAGTTCGAAAACAATTTCACTTTAGTCAAACGAAAACAGAAGAGATCAAAAATTGATCATACACATAATGATTCACCTTCGTCCTGCTCAACAACATCAACAGCCAGCACCAACAGTTCAACTTCTTCAACAAATACTAGTAGCATTGACACCAATATTTATCCAACTAATTCTGATCGTCCACAAACAAAGTCAATTAAGACATCTCGTCCTCAAACAGATACAAATAATAAAAATGTACCCAACACAAGATATAATACAAATGAAATTTCACAAGAAGCTCGTCGTTATGCAGAAACTCGTTATCCATTTCCTCCCTTCGTAATTAAATTCCAACAAGATGTAGATGAAAAGTCTACAATTAAAAATATAATGAACTACTTTACTGCCACCTACAATGCTAAGATAGTATTGGCAGGTCATCGTTTAAAGAACAAACGAGAATTACTATTGTTTGTGGAAAATCGTGAATCATTTTCTTTTTTCTTCGATGATTGCAACTGGCCAACAACGATTGATTCATTAGTATATGAAAAGACTCGACCAAATCATCTACCCCCTCAATTTTCTGTTATCCTTCGTAATGTACCAACTGAGAAGGACATTAATCTTCTATTAGATTATATTAAAAATGATTATCCGAACGTGATAAATGCATTTCGATTATCCAACAAAAATCAACTTCCATCAACAATTGTTCGTCTTGATATTACTTCGGTTAAAACTATTGATGAATTATTAAATAAAAAATCTATTTATATTAATAATGTACGATTACCTGTAACTGAATACTTGGCTCCTGCCAAAGTGTTAATCTGTTCGAAGTGTTTTCAAATTGGACATTTTCGAAGCACGTGCAAAAGTTTAATTGAATTTTGCAAAGTATGTGGACGTGGTGTTGATGATATTAAACAACATAAAAATGTTTGTAGTGGTAAACGATGTTGTCTTAGATGTACTGGTGATCATGATTCAAATGATTATAGATGTCCTGATATTAAAACTTATCGTGCTATATTAACAAAATCTCTATTAACTTCTGCTGGTCCAGTTAATCATCATCATAATAATTCAACAAATTATTGGTTCAATGATCAAGATTTTCCCATTTTAAATGGTAATCGTGGTAATTATCCTCGAAGTAATGAAGCACTTGTTAGTACTGGTAAACGTATCGATGACTTGTTTAACAAGTTGAACAAATTAGAAAAAAATTTTGATAGATTACTTGAACTTAATAATAATTCTTTAGATCAACTTGCTCGTACACAACAAATGCTGCTAAAACACGACCACGAATTAAATATACAAAAACATGATATTACATTTCAACGAGAATTTGTTAGTCAATTTGTATCTCCAATTTGTCAAGTGCTGGTCGATGTTATTCCAACATTAGTTAAACAAAATGTTATCAACGACAAAACTTTACTTTGCCCATCATTAACTGCTTGGAGTGAAAAACTGGCTAATGAATTACCGGTATGGACAAATCGTTTTTTACAAAATGAAAATATTAAAGCCAAGCTTATTAATGATTTTAACATGTTAAACCAAAATCCACATACTGACTCTACCAACAGCAATCTCCATCTTCCTTCACCATCATAGCAACACATCCAACATCCAATGTTAAACTCTCCCCGCTAGCTCCTCCCTTTCAGCCTAAATTCCAGGTCCTGAAAAAAGCTTTTGACATTGATTATGCCCTGTCACTGACTTCCTCATTGTTAACTCCTCACGATTTTAGCCTCCTCTCTGAAATCGTAAAGGAATGGTCCTGTTTTTCGACTCTTTCTTCGTGTCTTTCAAATTGGAAATCTTCGCAACAGGTGTGTACTTTTTCTTTTTCTTCTCAGTTACGTGTACTGCTCTTTAATGTGCGTGGATTAGATGAAAGGTGGGAAGAGGTCCTGTTACTCTTCGAGAAATACAAACTAGATTGTTTAATTTTAACAGAAATAGGAGCGATAGAGTTCTCTCTAATTCAACAAATCTTCGTCAATTTCAAATACTTTTATCAAAAAGGTGAAAATTCCTGGGGCGGAGTACTGATGGTATTCAGAATGAGTGCGCCAGTAGGGCGTATACAGTGCGAAGTCCCAAACATCTGTGTAGTTGATATCAAATTGGAACGAACAATTCGTCTTATTGGTATCTATGCCCCAAAGAGCAAAACCTGGAACTGGGATGCTCTCTCTCATTACATAACTGACCACTGTAGTCTGTTCGGTGATTTTAATATCGATTTAGATCTTAAGACCGATGAAAAGGCAGCTCAGGAACTTCTCAACTGGACGGATTCAAGGTTATTAGCACCAGTGCTACCCGGCACATCGACTTCTCTTCGATCTGATCGGGTCATAGATTATGCTTTTACTCGTGGTATTCCACTCTCTCTCCAAATTACTAATGATAACACTACTAGTGACCACAAACCGATTATAGGTCTACTGGATTGGGAAAGTAAAGAAAAGGCATTAGGTAGCAACACGCATTGGAAAGTTTTCCATTACTTCCTCGCTCTTACAGCTGAATTTTGGGAGAATGAAAGTGAACGCTCTACTACAGAGGATTACTACAGAAATTTTATCTCTCTCTTAGATAGTTTGAGAGCCCGATGCACCACGTACTTCCCGCTTAAGAAATACCGAGCTGGTATACCAAGGGAATTGAGAATGAAGCTCGCGTATACACGAGCACTGTCCCTCCAGCACAAAAGAACGGGGGATGTATTACTGCACGCGAAGATTAAGGCGCTCAGAAGAAAGAATAGGTTGGAACTAGTCACCCTACGTTCAAATAAACTAATATGTTCAATGAACGAAAGATTTTCTTCGTCTTCTTCGTCCAGCTCCTTCTGGTCTAGATTGCGAAAAAACTTCAGAACGATTAATTCACTTGACGCTCTAATTGATAACAACAACTTAATTGTTAAAGATACAGATATCATGTTAAATATAGCTGCGAACCACTATGAGAATCTGTTTGCAGAACCTCAGGTATATCGCCCTCATCCGTATGTGGATAGCCCAGAAGTTCAGTGGGACAACTACGATGAACCAATACCTCCGATTACAATGCCTGAACTATTAAAAGTCGTATCGAAGGTGAAGAAAAAACACTCGAATGATGCCCACGGAATATCGCCATATATGCTTCGATTTATCCCATACAAATATATGGGACCTCTTCTACAAATATTCAATCGTTCACTTTCAACTTATTCGGGTCCATCATACTGGAAACACGTAAAGATGAAATTACTAGCAAAGAAAGAGCCAATATGTGCAGTTACGGATACCCGACCCATATCATTGTTAGATATCTTTTTGAAAGTGTTAGAGAGACTATTCTTGAGTCGATTCCAGCGTGTACTGAAGAATAGAGGGCTGCTGCACGACTCACAGTCCGGTTTTCGTTCAAATTTTAGGTTACAATCACGAGTACTCATTCTGATCGATCAAATCTCTTCATTAATGAGTTCGAGTGCACCGGTGGCTACAGTCTTCGTAGACTTTAAACAGGCGTTTGACCAGCTATGGTGGGCAGGTTGTCTAGGGAAATTAGGAAGATTAGGCATACCTAAAGCGTATGTCCTATGGATAGAAAGCTGGTTAAAGGATAGATTGGGATTTATAGAGATGAAAGACAAACGCTCAAGGTTCTTCTCAATCTTGAGGGGAGGACCGCAGGGTTCATGTTTGACTCCCGCCATTTTCATCACATACCATTGTGATATGTGGACGTATCTCGAAAATACCCTGCCGAACTTTTTCGCCGATGACTTGGCGTGTGTACTAGGTGGGATGATGGGAGTTAAATACTCTCAGCAATGCCTCGACCTAGAAGTGAAGTTAAAAAAGCTATTTGATTACCTCGAGTTCTATTCGATTTTATCGGTTCAACCGATAAATTATGCTAAGACCGAGTCGATTTGGACAGCTCGCGCAATAGGAAATCCTAAATTTGAGATATCTATGGGCGATCGTAAAATCTCATGGGTAAATAACTTCAAATATCTAGGGTATCACATTTCATGTAAACTGGGATGGAGTAAAATGATAACAGCATCCAAGTATAAGATCAGACAGAGAATTGGTATAGTGAGATCCTGTAGGATGTATGGTTCCTCTTCACAAAAGTTCAGAAGAGTTCTCTTCTCTACTTATGTCCTACCATTATTCACCTGGTTGTTTGGCATCTTTCCCCTACTTACAGATTATCAAAAGGACGACCTGAGTCATTTCTATTTCACCTGTCTGAAGAGAATACTAGAAGCATCGCATTGGAATGATCACTTGTTCTCATATTTCTTCGAAGAAAGGTCCCTGGAAAACCTGTGCAAGAGTTATTGGAAAAAATATAGAAAAGCACTGAGCAATTCAGTGGACGGATCGCTCCTCTTTGAACAACTCGCCCATAATGTCTTTAGGAATCAGTGGTTAGATAAAAATTTCATCGTGAAGAAGGTATACAGGTCCAAACGTATAGTGTCACATGTTTCAGTCATTGAGAAATGCCTCAAATGGCTGGAAAATAGCGAAGAAAACTCAGTTCCCAGCATACCTGAATTTGAGCTTGATCTACTCGCATTATTTCCACACTCATTTCTGTAAAAAAAAAAAAAATCTTTTCTAGCAACTCCTGATCGAGTACTGACTTTCCTCTTCCCTCCCTTTCATCAAACTCGTCGTACTATCCTGCTTCATACGATCAATGTACCTCTTCTCTATGTGTGCTGTTATACCTTTGCTGTATACTGTGATACCTTGTCTCTCTCCTTGTATACCGTGTTACAATATACGTTCTTTATTTCTTTCTAGTTAATAATGTAATCTATGTTTACCTCTCCGTTGCTCCTATTCTGTCTTTTCGCAATGATCTTAATTTTTTATAGACTGGTGGTGTAGGTACAACTTCTAACTTCTTTCTTCCATACGTACACTGTAACATTGATGGTGTCTTAATAGGCCCCAGGGCATTAATCATTCAATAAAGCATAATAACAACAATTAAATTAAAACAGTGATTTCTTTTTCTTTTTTTCTTTCAAGTATTTTCCGACGTCATAAGGATACGGTGAAATGCTCTTTGCTTTTCTTTCTAATCACTAGAAAGTCATTTTCTTTAAAGCACGTTCTAATTTTATGGCAGTATGCCATTTAATATGGCACGTAGGACAATGCTTGCTGTCAATATTACATTCGTGACGAAATAGTTATTTCTGCATGAGAAAAATAGTCAACAGTAGTATAACATTGCTCGATCAAGAAGCAAACTGATGGCTAAGCTGTAAGTGCCACTCTATCAAAAAAAAAACAAAGTGTAATACATCCAGATCTGGTCGTTTCGAAAAGAACGGATTCTTTTACAAAGTAGGAATATCCGAGCATCATGCAACCGAAAAATAAGTATCACCAGAAGCACACTATGCAAAACATAAGCGTCTCGTTCTGCGAAAAGTTTTTCAGTAAGGTGATTTAAAAAAGACTGAGATGTTGGTATAATAGGAAATTTTCATTATTCAATACTGATATATATAGGACCGCCTATAGAATAGACAAAAATTATATTTGCATTTCAACATTAATTCAGACCAGTGATATGAGGAATCTGTTCAATCAACGAGCTAATCAATTTATGCGAGCAACAGACTGTTACATCTTCATCAATATCTCATAAGAATCTGAACTAGATTCCACATTTCTTTGTTCCGACCNGTATTTTTCAAAAATTATTCAAAAAATAACCATAACTTTTCGTTTTTGAAATGACTAATGGTATCTGTTGGGTTTTTTCCAACTGACATATGACGAACAGAATGATTTATGGCATTGCTAAAAGTTGGTAATTTACCTGAATGTGTATTGTCCATTATTTATGCAATAATATTCATACGTTGCTAATTGTGAAGATCACTGTATTTTTTGACGATAATATGATGTGTACATGTACACATAAAAGCAACAAGCATGCTTAGAGAGAACAAAATCAATCAAGCATTACTTTGGAAGCTCTCAATTCTTTACTAGTATAGACGACTTCACCTAATACATGTGTTTTATGTTGATCAGCAGACAATTTTCTATGAGTCATATATTGATTCACACAAAAAAGTGTGACTAAGGATTGATTCATCATTAAGAGATGTAATTATACTTTGAAAAAAGAATATGTATTCGAAAATCAAAGCAATTTTTCATCACCAAGTCGATCCGCTTCCATCCAATCAGAACTATCCGTCTATCGAATGCTATTATTGAGTTGTTTCAAAAACAATAAATACTGCTATTCGTATGGTGATTATATAAAATCTTTGAGACAAAACGCACTGTTTTTGACTTGTTATATTCAATGATAGATATAAACACTATCTATAGAACATAAAAACCTATTTAGACAATTCATTGAAGATCATTGTTGATTTACATGTAGACGAATGTTCGACTTCTAAAAAACATCTGTTATAGGGTGTTCATCAACATCACTGGTATTAGACCATGTATTCGAATATTTGAAGTCGCTATTCATTTCTTCGCCATTCTTTTTAGATTTTTCATGGTGACGAAATACGACCCAACAGATTGAATGATAAATTGTTTTGAAAATCAATTTGTACAATATAAATATCAGACCAAATATTTCCAGACAAACTACAGTAAATAGAACATTGTGAAATATAATCTCTGGTTGTTTGGCTATTGGCTGTTGTTGATTTTTGACATAGTAAGGCGTTTCACTCAGTACAATCGACAATATAATCGCTTGCGATGTTGAACGAATATATTGATCTCGTGAAATAAATAAATTATTTAGATCAATCGTGTATGTTGGAATGTAAATGCCACTAAAATTGGACTTTTCACCTTTCATTGATAATGTTTCATTGATCACTTTTGTTAGCGTGAGAGACACAGGTAATATTTGTGCTAGAACAGATCCATTCTTCGAAAAAGATCTGTAAAAATTTAATTCTTGAAGTTTATATGAGTCTTCTTCATGTTTGTCACCACTTACACCAATGCGTAAAGCACCGATTGTTTGAACTTGAGCTAGCGTGATTTCTACCGATATATGCTGATGGGGAAGAGGAATCGATAGACTTAAAATCGAATCAATATTTTGACAATTAGACCACCGAATCGTCGACCAGATATTACCAAAGAGAGCTTGAATAGATACGACATCACAATTAATAAATGTGTTAATAAAATCGACATTTAACAACAAGCTTTGCTCATTTAATAAATCGAACATTTTTCGTTCAGTTTCTGGCGGCGGTATAGCTAATGTTTGAAGATGTGTTTGAAATTTCGCATTACGAATCGAAAGATCACAAGCGAAATAGGAATCAGTCGAAGTTTCAATGGGATACTGCTTGAGATAGGCATTACTAAACGCATAGGCAAAACTAACAAGAACCACGATAGAAAATGATATCAAACCACCGACCCATAGTTCACCTTCTCCAATCAAATCTGTTTTTTTAAATATCCATTGAATACGTTTTCTTATTTGCGCACATGTGTGATGTCTGATGAAAAATTTAAGCATTCCCATGATTATCACAACCAGAAGAGCTAAACCAACTACAATTAATGTCCAAAATAAGGGCGATACCAACAGATAACGACCCGATCCAATATGAAACATATTTTGAATTAAAATCTCATCAAATATAGTAGTGTCAGGTGATTTTGGATAGGCAATAACTTGTTCGATAGTTTTCAATGCAGATTGAGATATTTCACTCACTGAGCCAAGTGGATAAAATTCGCCTGATGCACATGGAGTACATTGAATAGTGGCATTGCCAGAATTTTTTGTACCAGTCGGATAAAGCATACAATCATTGATGCCAGTTTGGTCCTTGTACATACCTAACGGGCAAGGTTCTGGAAATGTAATGAATGGTATTGATCTCGTAGCTCGTATTGATGGATAGAAGCCTGGAGGTGTGGGATTGAATATTAACAAATTGCCACTAGAATCCATTAAAGTTAGTGAGGTTGATGATGAAATGATATTTAAAAACACAGGACTGAAATTTTCCGGCAACAATTGATGATAATTAGGGAAAATTGATAGAGGGGTACTGTTCGAGTTGTAAATGTTCGACTGCATATCATAGAAATAGATTTGAGAAGATAACCACTGATAACTGAGTGAATAGGTATTGACAAGTATAGCAGCCATATTCCCATTATTTAACCAGGTTACGCTTTTTCCATTCCCTAATGATCGACCGTTGGTATTCCTGCTTACATAAGTCAGTTGTATCGGATTGGAAATATTGACTGAAAGTAAGAAAACTCGATTGATATGTTGCATACCAACTAATACATCACCATAACGATTAATACTAATTGACATATCATATTTTGATTAATAGATATCCGCATCCGCATTGCTCAATAAATCTTGCCATGTACCATTAGTAGCGATTGGTATATATTGATGGACAACAATTGGGCGATGATTTGATAGAAGAAAATTGAGAAGATAGATAATAGGACTATATTTCACTCTTTCCTGTGGTTCATTTTGAATGAAGCCTACAATAATGCCAAAATTGTTACTAATATCAACAGCATGTGGTATAAAAGAACGATTCGACCATGTTAAGTTGCCATGCCATGGTTCCAAGGTTGAGCTATTTTCGGAATCAAATACAAAAACAAACTTATTTGAAAATCCATAGGCGAAACGACCTTGAGGCTCAACCCCGATGATCTAGTATTCTTGATGTTCATAGCTGATGAGATACTCGAGCGAGTAAGAGAAACTCATGGCACAGAAGTTCGACGCATTCGAAACAACATTTGTCGGATCATACTTTGCTACACCAATAAATGCTCCCTTACTACTGTTAATCAATTCACCAGCAAAGAAAAATTGTGTTTGATTTCGATTCGGGTTCTTCCCGACAGCAACCGAATAAATATAATTTTCTAATATATCTGGATAATTAATGGAACATTGCAATGGTGTTTGTGTATTATTGTAAGGTGCAAATTGAATAAAAAACGACGGTGGAATTTTGGTGTTTTGAGCTTGTATAAGAAGAACTTCATTCATAGCTATTTTTACGCCATAAGCATCGTAATCCATTCGATTAGGAATGAAGACACAACCTAGAGGATGGATGTGGAAGAGTATGAAAAATCCAATGATTGTGTGATCGATCTGATTCATACTCTTATTCATATGATAGAACTCTAATGTTTTCCAATGCAAGAAACGCAATTTCGATTTTGATATCTGAAATGTACGGAAATGATCAGACAAAAGGAACGGGATCATTACATTCGTACACATAATAATCGGTAAAGTTCATCGGTTATCGATTTCTTCGATTCCAAGTTGAAAGATGATGAAATATAATACTACGCATTATACAGTGAGAACCGTAAAGATGCGTCTATGATCAAAATCAAATATGGCAAGAGGAAAAGTTTAGACTTTAAAATTCGGCTCATTCAAAATTTATGAGCAAGGACAAAAGCACGATACACTGACTACTCTCGTTCCTTAACTCTTGATATTTGCATCCTACTCCACCAGTCAAAAATCAACCATTGTTTTTCTCCATTCATAACATCATAACTCATATCCAATTAAATTAAAACAGTGATTTCTTTTTCTTTTTTTCTTTCGAGTATTTTCCGACGTCATAAGGATACGGTGAAATGCTCTTTGCTTTTCTTTCTAATCACTAGAAAGTCATTTTCTTTAAAGCACGTTCTAATTTTATGGCAGTATGCCATTTAATATGGCANTCACATATAGCGTGCAAAAACAACAAACTAAAATAACTTAGCTGTGGTATAATTAAAATGAAGACAGTAACAAAAGTTAGGCGCCACTCTGTTAACTCATATGTAGGAGAGCTGTAAAAGCAGCTAATTACATATAATGAATCACATGGATAATTAATGACGAACTTTTACATGTCTGATTTTCAGTTACTATTATGCTTTTATCCGATGATCAGTCGCAAAGGAAATTTCAGTTTTACTTTGAGAAAGAAGTTTTGATAATTTTCATTTTGTTTTATATTCGGCCCATTTCGGCCCATGGGCCGGGCCGGGCTTGGCCCAGCCCATTGAGACCTCTGTAATGAATATAGTGAGTTTTAAAAAAATTTATATTTCGAAATTTATCAGAATTAATACAAGCTTGATTTATTTTTCTGAAAGAAGATCGACCATGCCTTTTTGAAAGATTGCCGAAAATGAGAACGCCGAACTTCTTACAGAAACATTTAATACATACCGAAACCATATAAGACCATTTAAAATTGTTATATGTTTTATTACATTTTTCACATCTAAATGTTCCATTATTTTCATCAACAACTTTTTTTCCACATCTTTCTTCAGGACACATCTATGAATTAAAAATAAAATCTTATTGTTCATTTCAATATTTTCTATTTACCATATAAACAGCTGTTTCTTTTTTAATGAATGTTATGACAGCTTTTACATTTATATAATCAGGTTTATCACTTAAACCAAGACCTTCAGTAGCAATTTGAGAAAATGTTTTAAATGGTGCTTGTTGATTTCCTATTTCAGCTCCTTTTGATAAATCAGGTAAATCTATTGATTTTCCTTCTTTATCGAACCAATTACGAAGTTCTATTGTACGTGGTGTTTCAATTGGATCTAGACAAATTAATGTTGAACTCAATGTTGATAAAGTTCGACCATTAAAATCGCCAATACGTATTCCTTTAAAAGCAAGAACAGGATTTGATGAACCGTCAAAATCTTCGGCCTAGAGATAACAAAAAAAAAAAATGAATGTCAAAAAACTTATTTTTTTATTTCAATAAATCTACTTGTTGTCCCCATAATGTTGCTGTTATTGATGCATTTTCATCAACCAAAAGTAATTCACGTTTATTAAATTCTTTTTGTGATGTTTTACTAACAATTGTATCTATATTTGACGAACTTTTAACAACACCAATAACATCTAGAAAAATATCAATATTTCATTTTTTCTTTCTATGATTATTTTCTTATTTTACCACAAACACTATTTGCTTGTCGATTAGCTATATCACTAATTGGAATAAAATTAAATTGTACTTGAGGAATACATTGTCCTTCATCAGCATCACATTGTTCAATACATGTATCATAATTAAATGTCATTTCATAATCATTATTTAATGAATTGAATTGACGATTAGCTGGCTTAAGTGATGCTCGAGCAATATAATAAATCTTTAAAAAGAAAGAAATTTTTTTTTAAATATATTTAATTAATAAGATTTTCTTTTGTCGAAGTATATACTTTGCCAACTTCAACTAATGAATGAAATTTATCACATTCAGTATTAAATGCTGCTGCACGAATTTCACCGGATTGATCAACAAGATCACAACTGAAGAATTTTCCTGGACCACGTGCATTTTGATAATTTCGTATTTGACTTTTATTACTAACACGAGCTTTTATTGTCCATCTAAAGATTTTTATTTTTTTTTATCTTAATAAAAAAAAATATTCAAAACAAACTTGTTCATATATGGATTGAGTGTATCAATATTAACAATTCGTTCTTTATCAATAGAATTGCCTCCTTTTGAAGACGCCCGATTATTATCACCATTGAAGTGTTTAGTATTATTTCGATCGTCTAATGTTGGCAATGCTTTAGAATCTTGTCGAATAACATTTGTAGCTGGAGGTACTAAAAAAAGAACCTAAATAAATATGAACAACAACAAAAAAAAAAGGAAAACTGAAGAACTTCGCAATTTCTCAACAAACGAGGAATGTTTTCAAACGACCAGTAGCTTTTGAATTCGAACTCTATGCATCAGCTAGATTTTAGATATATATATATATTGTATATACCAACAAATTGAATGACAGTATTTCGGCCCGAGATTTCGCTTACAGATAGATCTGTTTGTCAGTAGAATGCCTCAAAATAATGTTTCCATCTCGAGATATTTAAGCTCCAGAAGTTACTCATATTCGATTAGGACATTCTACTCACAAATAGATCTTTCTATGGGCAAAATCTCAGATCAAAATAGCATCCTTTGATTTGTTAGTACATACCATTTCAGAGTCTAGAAGTCTAGTAAAATGTCTATAACTCTGGATAGAAAGTCTAAATGGACGTATCCTATTGAACTTTTTCACATCTCTCTGAATTCTACTTTATGCATAGAGTTCGAGTTCAAAAGCCATTACTCAATCAAGGTGAAATAAAATAAAAGCTTGTATTATTTCTTCCTGCTCAAACTACGATTACTTGTCTTTCAATCTTTCTGTAATTATCAATAGCAGTTATTTTTCATACCTGCACTTGTTGATGTTTGATTATTATCTGTTGCTTCTAAATTATATTCAATTAAAGATACCTTAACAGAAATTTCCAAAAAACTTTACCTGTACGATTTGCATTACCACCACTACTAATAATATCAGTTAATGGTAATGCGACTGGATCACCAATTCGTTCACTATCACTTTGAAGTACTTCAAGTTCGTAAAGCATCAGCATCACTCTATAAAATAAGATTTAATTCTTACAAATAATTTTCTTTTTTTGATTTAAAATTATTCTTTACCGTCCACTTTGTTTATCAATTGCATTAACCATAACACGATCAATACGAACAATGGCATTTTCTTTTAAAGAATTCGTTTCAATTAATATATTCATTTGTGTACTAAGCATACATGCTAAATATATTCATAATTATTTGTTTATATGAATTCAAATATATATATATATATATGAAATTTCTTACATGAAAATGTACTTTTACCATCTGATAACATAAGACGATAACGTTTAGCAGCTGTTGATGGATCATCAGCCTTGCTATCGATTGTTTTAATACCCTTAAAGAAAAAAACTCAACAATTGTTGTATTCATTTTTTCAAGCAAACACATACGACGACTTGTAATATGGCTTTTTCTGAAGTATTTCCACGTAAATATCTCTGAAGAGAAAAATTTTATGAATTAAACATTTTAAACAAAGTGTAAATAAAATTTTACCAAAAGAGCACCAGTTGTAAGTCGTTGGTTTGACATATTAAATTAATCTGGAATAAATACATCATGCATTATTATTATTATTACAACGAAAAATTTTTAAAATTATTTAAAACAAAAACAAAACAAAAAAAAGACTAAAATCCATTATGAATATTTTCAATTAAACGACGACCAAATTCACTAAAATCAATGTCACTGATTGACATACATGAAATTTTAACCGTAGTAATATTCTTAAGAGAAAAAAGAAAATTATAAATCATCATAACAATTGGCACATAATGAATGATCGATTTTTTATTTTCTTTCTTTTTATCAATTTTCCAACTAGACCAAATTCTCTACGAACAAAATCATTTCTTTGGTAAACAATCAATCAATTCACTTTTTTATTTCTTCATTAGAATGTGTTAATGCTGTAAGTCGATAGAAAGCAGACGAACAAAAGATCATAGACCAAAAGGTTAATTATGCAACAAGAGTTATGTTGGGGTTAGATGCATCTTAAGATTGTATGATCTCTTCAATTATACTTAAACCTGGTAATACATTATCATATGAAAATTATAATGAATTTGTTCTCCTACATACGCAATCTGAAGATTAACGGCCTTTAGGCGATGGATTTCATCTACCAACAAGACAAAGTTATACTATATATACATCAGAAATCATTGCTCTAGTCGAAGAGTATGATCCATATATAGTGAAATCGGACAGGTTAACGAGATCATATTTTCCCTTAAATAGAGAGTCAATATTACGACCTAGAGCAAATAAGCACGATCGCAAACTGTATGAAATGGCAAATAAAAATGATGGTTTATTGTGATTCGTAATGATTGACTCTCTATTTAAGGAAAAATATGATCTCGTTAACCTGTCCGATTTCACTATATATGGATCATACTCTTCGACTAGAGCAATGATTTCTGATGTATATATAGTATAACTTTGTCTTGTTGGTAGATGAAATCCNGAGCACTGGTCCGGTTAACCAGCTATCATGTCTTGGGTTCGATTCCCGAACGAAGCATATCATTTTGTTTTTCTGAATGAAAAATTCAAACATCGAAAGATAAAAGGAAGAAAAAGTATATCATATAAAACATGTATAACTCCTTTCTAATATCTAATCCTTTTATGCTATAATCATAAAATTTATCGCTAGAACAACCATATTTAAACCGTATAATTTTGAGTTTGATATTACGAAATGTTTGCTTATATGTTGATAGGTTTTTATTTCATAAAAAAGTACTTTTAATCATTATACGAACCAAAATATTCATCTAACTTGTTTGCGATATTATTCATTTTATTCTCCATCCAAAATACAAAATAAATACTGTGTTCTAACACATTTCTGAATAGTTTGTTTGAATGCGTGCCAAATAAATATCTTAAACGCCTAGATACTAATGTGCTTCTCTTAGGAACATGAACAAACAGCGTAGTAAGATTTTCTTTCAATCTGTTGCAAATACAAAAAGATGCATCTAGAAGCGTGAAAATAAAAGACGATACGTTTAAGCGCTGAAATAGTGTTTTTTCGAAAAATCTGCCGTTAAGATGTTGTTTTTTTACAACTTTCTTTTCACGAGACTGTCGCCGAAGTTTTTTGTTGACAAATCGTAAGGTAGCTTTTTATTTGTTTTCTTCCAAAATAGAATTGCGGCAAGCAGCAAGAAAGGACATTGAAGGAACATTTTTATCTCAAGAGATATAGAATGATCTTTCAATGTACACAGATCGAGATTAAATCTCTTGTCATATTCATGCTCCAGTTTCCCTGTTCCATCTTATTTATGACTGTTGTGTTCTTTTCCCAATATTTTCCTCGTTTGTATACGTTTGATTAATTTCAGCAGGGTTCAATTTTTGCATTGATCTGAGTTAAATGAAGATATTAGTTCTTTCTTGAAAATGACTTGAAGATATAAAATGATAGACCGAAGATACATTAATAGACCATGTCTTTACAAATTCTTCTGTTGTTGACAACAATTTCTTTCTAGATTTCATTATTTTTTTCTTTTATGGAATTATGTATTTTTGTATTGATTTGTAGATCTTTTTCACGAATGAAACAATTAATGGAGATCAATGGCAAGATTTTCATACCAGGAATTATTAGTTTTGTTCTTCTGTTAGCTGGTATCATAACATTGAGCATTTTATATGGCAAAGAACGGCGAGAGATGAAACAAATTCATAAAGGTACTCAGAGGATAGTAGAAAATCGTACTAGCTACGTTAGCTTTTATCTAAAAAAATTCATTTTCTTCTCATTCAACTGATTCAACAACACCATGCAAGTAACAAACCCCAATAGAACATTTGAAAGACAGCAAAAGAACAACGAAGTGTTTTGTCAATAAATGTTGTTGTAAAGAGGATGCATGTACATTGGTTACTCCATCAAAATAAAATCGATGCAGAATTGGATGTATAATAGCAAAAATTTATTTTAGATTATTTTTTTGAGCTTGTCATGAACTTTTTTTTTCCTTTAACGAACGACCGTCTCGATTACCAAAAATAGATAACTATGACTGAATAGAAGATCCAAAGTTTGTCGACTGCTCATAATGATACGAGAACTGTGTTATATATGTATTTCATAGAAAATGACTTGAAATTTATAGAACGCTAGACACTACAAATTTTAAAAGGATATTTTCCACTATAATAAAATGAAACATAAATTATAATGACATTCAAGCTTAACGATAGATCAGAGAACAACGAATTTCGAGATGCTTTTGATGTAATATCTATTTAAAATGAATAAGCAACATAAGATGGGTCCAAATTTTGTAAAAAAATCGTCAGAACTAACTATACGTAATAACGAAAAAAAATTCTACGAAGTTTACTATGGAAACTGACGGAGCTTGAAATAAAATAAACTACTCTTTGTATATTCCGCTCAATTTCATACGTATATAGCTTTTGCCACATACAACTTAATCTCCAATCGACATCTAAATTTCTGACGAAAGTTAGAATGTAAGACCAACATTTTTAGCTGCAAGACCTCACATATTTCTTAATGTGTTGGTTGGGAAAATCTGCGCTGGTAGATTATTAATTCACAGCTTCTGCTATCATCTTCACCATGGTTGTTTTTCCTATGCATCTTGTAAACTCTTGTGTCCCTCCAAGCTACTTAATTTGCATGAAATGAATATTTAGTTATTAGAAGTATTTTTCTTTGATTTCTTCCTAAGTAAAGGTACATGGACATCAATCATAAATCCAATAACATACTCTCAATCAGCAGTAGAAAGATTACTTAGCGAAGGTGGCTATGTTGTAATAAGTGCGGGACGCAATAATAAGATGCCCAGTGATCGTAATTTGAGTGACGATACTATTCAAGAACGAACCATTAATTTGACCATTGAGTTCACCAATTTATATGCTTATTCATCTATGCTGGGTGTCTATAATGGCGACAATGAAACCAGTTTCTTCGTTGTTCTACACAATGTTTCACCGAATGCCGAACGTAGTGCATTTATTCAATTGAGTCACAAATATAATCAAGAGGCTATCATTTATGTTAAAAGAGCTACTCCAACAATACAACAGTTCATCTATACAACAGGTGAATTCAGTGGAAAATATGTCGAAGGACAAGGATACGAGGTACTTATTACAAATGCAACGAATGATTATAGTGAATTAACAGTGTGTCCAAATAACATATTTAAATTCACCCTAAATTTTAATTTTGGAATGATGGTCATGGGGGAAAATCGAATAAAAACACGACAACTAATTGATCATCATACCAATTATATATCAGTCAATCAACAGAAACGAAACTTTTGAACATGTTCTCCAGTGATCAATATGAACTAATTTCTTTTTTATCATGAATAGCTGACTTGAATGCCCCAAATAAAAAACAAACAGACGAGTTTTGGATATGAATTAGATCGCTATCGATCGCAGATTATATCGGATATAATGAGATTTTCGAGCAATTCAATAACCTCTACTATTCGATGATAAATTGCTGGATACAGTCAATTAATAGGTTTCTATTCTTTATCTTTGATAGATACAAAACACTTACTAACGACGGACGGTTTCCATGTTAAGGAAAAATTTTGAGCTGATATTTTTATCAGAACACAATCTCAACAGTCCTAGATAAACATTGAAATATTTCGAGTTCATCGGTCTTTGCTCAGTAAATACTGCATTTTTAAGTACCGGAGATAACATTAGACTTTATGAGAACTTAATTCGATCAACTCTGCTATCGAGGGTGTGAATGTAGGTTGCTGTCTCTTCTCCACATCTACACCTAAATTTATATTGTCATCTCAGACATATCAGCAAACTGTTAAGACCTTCTCTCGTTCATTTCATTGCATGGCTTAAAAACCCATGAAAAGATAATGAAAAGACGAAGAAATATGCCTCTTCTGAAGAAGATTTTCATGCAACATTGATTTACTTTTTCCTGAATCCAATACATGTTGGTCTCGACACAAGGGGATCGAACAACATTGCTGTGAGATTCTTTGAAAGAAAAACACTTTTCTTATTAAAATCTTGAAAATTGGGACTTAGAGCCATCTGTTCCGCTGTATATTGCTGTACTAAAGCCAAGATCGACCTAAAACATGATTCCAATGGCAAGACGTTGTTCTCGTACAAATTGGGGATCATTTTCATTAGGTCATATTGGTTCGCTCAAGTGTGATTACGCGTACAATAGGGCGAAACATATAATTACTTTTGGCCCCAGAGACTTCATTATGTGAGTTCCGTAAATTTTTTTGTTTTGTCACAAAATAGGAATAGTTGAAAAATAATTTTCTGCGCAGTTTTGCACAATCGATACAATGAAACTATAGACAAAATGATGAAATTTTCAAAATAATCTTTTGAATTCTTCTGAGACTTCTGTGTGCATGTGTTCTCTCTCTCTTTCTGACAGCAATGAATAACAGTTCTTTTGGCAACAAATTTTGAACCCGAGTAAATGATTGATTGTAGGTAATTCGAAACCGATG